ATTATACATTGTTTATAAACTAAATATGCACTTCGTATGAACTAAATTTGTATTTCGTATAAACTAAATGTGAAGTCAAAATATGCAATTGAACATAAGTATTCTCTTTTAAAAAATAAAAAAACTGGCAAGACAAATGAGAGGAGCCAACCCATGACTCCAAGGGGAAAAACTTCGGCTGGTATTTTCTGTCTAAAAACCCTTCCCGTTCTTAGCTTATCTATTCTCTTAAGTGATCATTATTCGTTATTAAATTCATCTTTCATAAGTCGATGTAATTGACCTTCTCTATACAATTCTTTCGAGAATGTACTCAGTTTGTTCACGATACGACGTGCTACAATGGCAATTACAATGGGAAGAAGGTGATCCGGGACAAGAACTCTCTCTTGTCGATTTTCCGCACTGCGGTCCAATGACCTAGATGGGGATCGTAAAGCCAAACTCATAAAACTGCACAATGCGTCCCGAGAAAGGTTGCTTTGGTAGCAGATTTGCTTGCATTATGTATGAAACTAAATATGCATTTCGTATTATATAAATATGCACAAGAAATAAACTAAATATGCACTAATTAAATAATATAAAAACTAAAGACCACATTGCAGTTTTTTAAATATAGATTGACCTTAAAAGTCAAATTGCAATAAATAAATAGTTTCTAAAATTACAATCAAGTACCCATATTTTTCTCCACAAAGCCCAATCCCTAAATCCCCAAATATCCCATCGTCTATTCACATCGGTACATGCCCAGCCCCTGGATGTTGAAGTTGGGTCGTTGTCGTCGTTGCGACCAACCAAGCCGGAGGATACACTGATGACGTCGTCGTCGCCGTTAATGGCCAGAAAATCAAAATCGACCAAATACATGTGCATCTGCTTGTGTGACAGTTGGAATATTAAGGCTAAGCTTGTTGTTCCTAAGCCTAGGGCTCATCGTTTGCAAGGTCAAGCGGTCCCTCAGCTTTGTTAATTTCGTCTCCCTCAATGATCTTGCCTTCTTTGTTAATCGACCAAATGCAAGTGCATTTGCATAGTTAGAATATCAGGGCTACGCTTGTTGTTCCTAAGCCCAGGGCTCACCCCTCACCTATGTTAATATCATCTCCCTCGACGATCTTGCCTTATCTCTCAACTTCTCCAAGCTCCGCTCCGCCTCAACCTCACCCTCGACCTCCACATCTCTATCACCAACCCAAGCTGCGTCGGCTTTAGGTACGCCTACAGGTGAGACACGATGGCCAAAAGAGATGGCCAAAGGGATACCTCGTCCGCCTCAAGATGCAGGCCTGACGGCGGAGGGGACAATGGGGTCAAAGAGGGACTACCGAAATCAAGGCAATACCAGCAACAACTCCAATGGCCGCATGTGAGGATTCCTGAGTTTCGACATTTGCGGTGGTTCGATTCGACCAATAGACTCCAACCACCATTCACCGTCTACACTCAACAACTGGCCGCTCATCTTAACTTATTAATTTATTTATTACATAACTAATTTAAATTTAATAATTAATATTTTTTATTATATAATTAATGTGTATTTTAATTGATTAATACGAGCCATTGATCTACATAAAATCAATAGCTGAGATGATATTGAGACTTATATACTCATTTTAAGGAGTAAGACTCATTGATTCGCCACAACTTTGTTTTCAGGGCAAAACCAACATTATTATCGTCCAGATCAAACCATTATGAATACCATTTCTCCACCAAACAGAAAAAACCTGGTAACAAGGATAAGAGGTGGGGGTATGGAGAAACTTTATTTACAAAACAAAAATAAAATTAAAAAAGGACCGTTGTAGCTCCACATCGTAATAAGCTAACATTTAAAAAAAAAAAGGTGCAGAAAAGGGAAAGAAAAGAGATTGAAGAAGTTAACGTTAAAACAGTTTTAATATTCCAGAAAAAAGAACTGGTTGACTGACTATATCAATTCACGTTAACTAAATTCAACAAATCTGCTGCGGGCACGCACCGGCACAGCTGAGCAAAGGTGGACAATTTCTGGATTTGGTCAAAAATCCCTCCCTTTGTAAGGCATTTCCTGAAAGTGGGGAAAAATTGAAAAGAAAGTAAAAGGAAAAAACTACAAGTTAGCCTCACAGTGGTCATATGGACAAAGCATATCAAGGAACATGTTTAGAAGCGTTACGAGACCCGACCCATAGAGAAAGGAAAAAGAGATCGTAATAAGACCGAACCTCAGGAGAATTGTTTGGAATTAAAAAACCATATGGAAGAGTTACTTAAATGTCAGAGAACTGCAAAATGCAATTCAGCGCTTTTCCTATCATATTTAGCCATTTCCCACATTCTCACATTTAATACGACCAAGCACGAACTTCCAAATCTATACCGTATTTTTCGCACTCTCAATATCTCCGCTTAAAGCTCTCACACATTTGAATTGTTTTTACGGAGCTCCTCAAATGGTGTGCTTAAAACCTGACCAAACAAATTACTCACAAATAAGCAGAAAGAAGAGAGGGTATCTTACAGTGGGATATGCTGGCATGTAAAAAACTGGCCGAGGCTGCCCCATTATCATCTGCTGCCCATACTGCACAGACACCCAATTAAAAGCTTCCATCAGAATATATATAAAATTAGTGAAATATTCTGGCAAAAATTTCAGTGCTAAACACTAGAAACCTGAGGTCCGTTTGGATGATAATACGGCTGTGGCATTGGAGCCTGTGGATTGAATACCACAGGCTGTTGTGGCGCGAAAGAAGGTCCCATCTGAATAGAAAAAAGGAAAAAAAAAAAANNAAAAAAAAAAAAAAAGAGACTTTCAACACATAAATTTATCTTACACAAACACCCAAGATGTAAATCCAATTACACATCAGAAGGGTAAAGACAGTTAGATTTCAAAATTATAAATATCCCACTGATATTTACTTCTATTTCACAATTAAATCCTTGGTACGGCACATTGTTAAGGAGATACAAATATGAAAAGCTGTTGTCATATGATGTAGGGAAGCATACGAGTGGGACGATATTAATGAGATCGCAATCCCAAGAACATCTAAACACGATACCAATTCATTTTTATTCAAAATCCACCACCTTCACAATAAAACATAAGAGTCTTTTAAATAAGGCTCCTAAACCCTATTCCTAACTTTTCCAACAAGACAAATTCTCTTACCAAATATTAAATAATAATATTAAATGCTAATAATAATAAGAATAAAAATATTACTAATAAATATATCCTTAATACTAATATTACATCCGGAGGTGGGGTATATATTTTGAATGGCAAATCTGCTTTTCTTCTTTTTCTTTCTGGTTTCAAGTGTAATTAAGCCAATCGAAAGGGCAACTCATAATTGCCCCCATGAATAAAGCCAACTTTCAATATAGAGCAAGAAAAATATAGCTTCAACAAAATGATCTTGATGAATACAGGGGATATGGGGATCTAAACATTCCCCTCATTGGGCAGTAACAGAACATAACAAAACAGTTTAACTAGCTTCGAACTGGTTCTCCTCCTTCCACTCCTTCCCAGTCGATGATACCACAATAGTGAGAAATTGCAATATTTTCATGAGTAAAAATAGAACCCAGATAACACATTTATCAAATACCATTTTACTAAAAACCACATTTTATGACAGGAAAAAAGCCCAATATGCAAGAGAGTCAAACTATATTACTCGCATGTCACATGATATAACGGATATCTTTTGCAACCATCCGGAGAATGAAAACTAATCAACAATAAATGAATTCATACTCACCCCAATACCAACAGGCATTACATGCATCTGTGTCATAGATGGCACATTAGCTGGATAATAGAAAGAACCATCAGCAACAGGAGAAGAAGGCCTCACAGGTGCATGAGATGGGACAAAACTTTTCGCATTCGGGTTTAATTTAAACTCCTGTCATACAAATCAGTGGTTAGAGACAAAATTTAGCATAATAGGCAATAGACTAGCTGCAGAACAAATTTGTTCAGCGTGTCCATGTTGAATTCTAATCATAAAAAATAAAAATATAACTATAAAAACTATGTTAATAATTTAGGATAGATACAAAAGGGAAAAAGCAATAATTTTCAGAAACACAAATAACCCCACCACATCAGTTCCTTTTTCTTTTCTCAAATTACAACCCCAAGATAGGCGACTTGTTAGGTAAAATACAATCTTCAAGGGGGGACAATCTAAGAGGAAATCTGTACTTGAAAGATATCAGTAAGTTTTCATAATTAAGCTGAAGTTCAAGGTAGCATCATATTATCCAAAAAATAAAGAAGTCATTACAAAAGCCACTAAAAGAAGGGAAGTATCTGTTTCTACTTGCCCACCTTAGCATGTGGGTTGAGGGTAGACTTCTCTGAGGACAATGAACCGACAGACGAGCTAGAGGACAATCCTCGGCCAGCAGAAGTGGAAGTGGGACCCCCACGGTCGGATGTAGAAGAGGCGGAACTACCAGGCCGGGTAAGAGAACCAACTGTCACTGAAGTTTTTGGCAGCAATGTACTCTCTGAAGGCTCATTAATAGAGCTTGCCTTTTCCTGACCTTTAGATGCAATTTCGGGATCAAATGCAGTGGCATTTGGAGACAAGGAAACTTTATCAGAGCTTTCCTTCTTTAATCTCAGCAATGAATCTGAATCTGCTAGCAATATAGTTACTATTAATGTCAGATTGAGTAACCATGAAAATAATGATACAAAACAAGGAAAATATATTTTACATAAAGGCAAAAGCATGAAATAGCAGACATAATATGCCAATCATAGTAAACTAAAGACTAAGTCTGCAATATGACATGGGATAAATCGTATCTGGTACTACACATTTCAAGCAAGTGCAAACTCCAAAGAAGAAGGGGAGGGACTCAGAGATGAGAAAGAAGCTAGAATAATTCATTTTCATACATCATAACACCCCAAATGCCAAACGGCCATACATATTTATAGAAAAAAATCTACCAATATAATCAAGGCTTAAAATCCTACATATCAAAGGAGAATGAAAAGGTTTTCTGTTATTTTGTTTCTTTTTTTTTTTTTTTA